AACATGGAAGGATACCATTATGAACGATTCTCTTTCTGTTGATGTATAGCATTAGATCAGGAGCGGAGTTATAGATATACTCCCCGAGTAAAAGTTGGTATTTTGAGGCGCAATTTTAACACGTGTATGCTAAGAATATGTGGAGAAATTTTCTTACAGGTCTTCGACTTCTCACTAACTACGAAGAGTTAGGCCCTGAAACTTGGAGGTCATATCAGGTAAAGCATAAGTACATACCTCCCTGAGCCGCAAGATGATACTCGTTGTGGTGGCTGTGCACGAGTCGAAAAACCGGATATGCTAAGAATATGTGGAGGGGTGTAGTGTGGTTGGTAAATGTCCCGTAAGAGATCCTTCAACTCTAGTGTGGCCCAGACTACTTCAGTCCACGACGAGATGCCACGTTACGCTAACGTAAGTGACGTAGATGTGGTTGCTAGTGTAGTCATGTACAGGTCCTGTGCTGTGTCTGTGGTGCATCGATGACACCGAACCAGTCGAATATGTGTGTCAACTGCATGAAGGGCGAGGTGGACATCACCGAGGGCATCTCTAAGCAAGCAGTGGTCAACTACTGTCGAGAATGCAACCGGTGAGGAGGAGGATGAGGATGAGGGGTCGTGCTGAATATTGGCCGTATTCGTTTTGTAAGATACCAGAGGCCCCCGTGGGTACCCTGTGAGCCGGAGTCCCGTGAGCTCCTGGGGATTTGCCTGAAGAAGATCAAGGGGCTCAACAAGGTGAAGCTGGTAGACGCCAACTTTGTAAGAACGAATTATATTGTCATTCTTGTATGCCTTCTTTCCCCTCAGATCTGGCAGGCCCCGACTAGCAAGCGAATGAAGGTGAAGTTGACTGTTCAGAAGGAGGTCATGAACGGCGCTGTCATGCAACAGTCGATGATAGTCGACTTCATCGTAAGTCCTACTACGACTGCCCAAGAGGAGCTGATCCGGATGTGTGTTGGTAGGTCGCTTGGCAACAGTGCGATGATTGTAAACGTACGTACACCCCGCATACGTGGAATGCATCGGTGAGTTGGGTGTCTAGTAAAGGGTGAGTGGATTACTGATTACATCGTAGTGCCTTTTCGAAATAATCATCAATTTGGGTAATTCATTGAAAACAGCCAGAAGAAAATATGAAAAGAGGATTTTTTTTCTCAAAAAAAAGGGAAAATTATCAAAAAAATCGGGCAAAAAATTGAGTTGACCTCGAAACACTATAGTGATAAACAGTTCACGTTTGACGCTGTCGCTGTGATGGAATATATAATTTTTACTATTATATTATGGATTAATTGGCTTTGAAACTCAGCGGAGGGAAACATTGTGAAAAGTACGAAAAGTTTTCATCAGAAAAATAGAATTTCCATGATTGGTTCGCGGATACTTTTGATATGTTAGGTTCAAGTTCGACAGAAGACCGACCATAAGCGGACCTTTTACTATCTA